ACAGTATTCTTCAAAATCACCATGAGCTCAACGGGCTGTATTCGTCCATATTTATAAAACCCTCGTTGGAATGTATGGGAAGCTAAAAGAGAAACGCGTCGGGGTGAGGCGGTCTACATCTTTAGTTATAATAAGACAGGCTAACAGCATAGGACCGGCTACAGTTATACCCGAACTAGGCACGATTTCTCTCATAACGTTATTTGCTGCTCCATACGTGACTCGAATTTCGGCAGTTACCTGTTCATGACGATATGAAATTTGTTCGCCACAAGAAACTTGCTTATTTACAGTTAAAATTACAGTTGGAGTTTTGAAACGTGAGCAACAGTTTCGGCTATAACCAAGGAACAGTACTTGTTGAGGTAGTTTTTATGCATAAGTTAGTTTTTGTTTAGAAGGAATTGCACTGTAGTTTGAAGGATTGGGTGGCGCTAATACAAAATTACAACGAATTCTTCAACCTTACATCTCATTGCATGGGCTTACAGTAATCATTTCAAATAAATTGACCATGAAGTAATAATAATCGCGCTCTACAAATATTAGCTTGCGTGAACTTTTTAAATATTCCAATAAATCATCATCATCATCATCAGCCTTTATCTGCCCACCGCTGGACATAGGCCTTCCCCAATGCTTTCCACAGAATGCGGTCCTCCGCCTTCCGCACCCAACGACTTCCCGCCGTGCGCACTAAGTCGTCGGTCCACCTGGTTGGAGGACGCCCCACGCTCCTGGTTTCGTCCTGGGTACGACGTTAAGCTTCCTAGTCGCCCAGCATGGTGATTTAAGGGTACAAGCATCCCAATGACATGGTACGGAATTCCAATAAATATTAAAATTTAAATAATTTAAACGTAATTTTAGCGAAGTTGACACAATTAATTTAATAACATTGAATCACTGGGTTCAGTCACACCCGCTAAGAAGTATAATATTTTTATTTTTATACCAGGAAAAGTTGAACACTGACGTATGTCCATTCAATTGCCTCGTGCCGTATTTGATGGAATATTTCACTTTCCATTAGCCTTAATCATACCCCCAGGAAGATATTAAGAAGAATTGGGAGTGATAAAAAGCGGTTCGAAATTAAAGAGCTTTTTCCTGTTGTAGAAATGTCGAATAGTTATGAGGGCATTAAAGTTAATGGTGCCCTCAACACCGGCCGCGTACCTCGCTTTATAGACGGTGCAAAAATGTTTACTTTATTCCTAGTCTATATAACTATATATAGAATGTTTATTTACTAGAGTAAAACAATATCAAAAAATTTAGATATAATATAAAACTATCAACTTCTTAAAGTAAATTTTGAGCTTAAAATATGAAAATTCCACGAATAAAACAACAGAAAACTCAATACAGAAAACTGCACCATAAAATAAGCAATCAACATAACTTTCTCACTAATCAGACAAAGAAGATACTGTTTAAATTACAAAGTTTTCGAAACGGAATTGGCAAATGAGACGGCATTTGCGAGGCGGCGTTGCGATGGTAATGTCAGCCAGCCACTAAATTTTCCAGATAAGTGCTGTGCTGGCGTCAATATTTAGGTCGATCATTTTTCCTTATTTCCACGTGCAACCGGCAGAATGTTTTAAATTTTTACTGGTGGTAGGACCTCTTGTGAGTCCGCACGGGTAGGTACCACCGCTCCGCCTATTTCTGCCGTGAAGCAGTAATCCGTTTGAAGGGCGGGGCAGCCGTTGTGACTATACTGAGACCTTAGAACTATATCTCAAGGTGTGTGGCGCACTTACGTTGTAGATGTCTATGGGCTCCAGTAACCACTTAACACCAGGTGGGCTGTGAGCTAGTCCACACATCTAAGCAATAAAAAAAAAATCTATCGTAAATTAGTCAAAAGGGGTAATAATAGCACGAATATTTTTTACACACGACATTAAGAAATTAAAAACAATTGCTATCAAACTGCCGAGAGACACCAATTACTAAAGCAAGCGGTATCACGCTAATGCAGTATTGACAACCATTTGAATATTCAATAGTGTTCGATTTCTCTAACACGTCTGAATAGAGGTGAGAGAAGATTCGTTTTATTATTCAGCTCCCTACACCCTAATTCCGACTGATTAATATGTAGTTCATTTAAGTTTCTCTGAGATTTCCGGTTAGCCCCCACACAGTCTCCCTTGGTCGTGTAAATTGTGCTAGGAATCCGAAACGGCATCGTTAGTTCTGCACAGGGGTTTCCCCTGGGCTAGGTCGAACAGGGGACGAGGGAACCTTCATAAATCTTTTCCTCGACCTTCCCGCCACTAACAAGCCGGCAGCGCGCTCGACTCGTGTGAATCGAACCCCTCCGCTAGTAAATAACCCTGAAAACTTTCATAATAACACCACTTTAAGTAGATTAAAATACCTGGTTGATCGTATTTCCATATTAATCATGTAGTGCTTGGGAGGGTGTGGGTGTTATATTGCTAGCAGTAATTTAATAACCTAAGGGATGTCTCGCCGCGAATATCGTCTGCATAAATCAATTTTCTCGAAGAGCATTCTGTTTTGGGATTTAATTTTCTCACATATGAAGAAAGTAGCGATTATAAATAAATACAATGTTATCTATATATTAATACGTGAAGCAAAAACTTTGTATCCCTTTTTACGAAAATTGCGCGGACGGAGGAGTATGAAATTTTCCACACTTATAGAGAATATAGAGAAGAAGTGCACAATGCTAATGCTTTTTTAAAATAATGCATAAAAGATAAATTAAATCAATAAAGAAAACATTACACACACTACCATGTATTTGACACATACACATATACTTTTTGTTTATTGCAGTAAAGTATTGTCAAACTTTTGTTATTGCTTAAAGTCTGTAGTCAAATTGAAAATAGGTTAGTATTGTTTATCTTTAATATTACGAGTATTTGTCTATAGTGTAGTCTTGGTGAAATCTGTAACAATAGGACCATAATAATGTTGAAACTTATAATTCAATTAATTATAGTTGAATTTCGACTACGGCGGGACCACTAGTTGTTGTAAGCACTGTACAATTTTCTTTAACGATATTATTATGAAGATTATAAACATTAATTATTAAATTTGTTAATGTTTGGATAATCAAAATGCCACGGTTGTGGCAATTTTTAGTAATTATATGTGTATTATGTATTGTATTTTTTCCTACATTTTGGTAATAAATTTCACGCTTCTTCGTTCAAAAATTATAAACTTCCACCTTTTAGTTGATCTCTAATTCAATCTTTGATGGAAAAAAAAGTGTACCAGCATTTCTAACTAGAAACAAGTGTATTAAATTTCAGACTTCTTATATTGAGAATGACGAATTTTCTTACATAATTACACTGATTGAACATTCCTACATACACTTATTGAACGAACCAGTATTTTACTTTTCTCTTCAGGGGTTGTAATTACCAAAAATCCTTCTTAAGTTTCTTTACTACATTAAATGATCCAATAGATATGATTTCAAGTTTTTAGGTCTAGCGGCTTAAGCTCTACGTTGATGAATCAGTTCGAACAAGTAATCGTAAATGTATGTACTTATAAATCAGTCGATCAGTTACAATCAGTCTAAATTTCAAGTTATAGCGTTTTAATATCGAATAGAAGCATTCTAAGCTGCGAAGTATCGACGTTCCTGAAGTAGATTATAGTTTTTTAAAATCATTTATAACTCAGAAAAATGAACTATTGAAGGCTTTTTTTATTTATTAGATGGGTGGACGAGTTCACAGCCCACCTGGTGTTAGCGGTTACTGTATCCCATAGACATCTACAACGTAAATGCGCCACCCACCCTGAGATATAAACTCTAAGGTCTCTATATAGTTACAATAATATAGTAATATAGGCTGTATGAACAAGTCATAAAATATTTGAAGGTGTTGCAACTGTATATTACGTACTTGTACAAAATCGTATTAAAACTCGAATGTAATTAAAACTTCAACCTCGTGCTTCGTATAATATCTGATAGAGCATGAAATAGTCTGTTAAAAGTTTTTGTAATTTAAAGTAAATTTCACTACGATACATTATGTTGAAATTGTTATAGCATGTCACTAGCGCCGTGACTGTAACGTGTAAAATGTTGTTAATTCATTTTTCTATAAAAAATTCGCGGAAATCGCCTCCATTTCACAATTTTAAAAGTTAGTTAAGCCGTGAAAAATCCGATATCATAGTCACCACCGCGTTGGTTTCGCTCACATTTCGTATTGTTTGAGAGGACAAACAAAAATCGAGTTACAAACTTCTGTTTTAGTTTAAGTCATAAAAGTATATAATAATATAAAGTGAAGATATGTGAGAGAACTTAAAATGTAATAGTCTTTATGGAAGTTTTTTTATATACGAAAAATGAGAATCGGCTTTTCCCTACGCCATGTTGCTTTGATACTTGCCAAGAAAGTTGCCTTGATGCAGGTGTTTTGTTTAGGACAAGGCTGTTTGAATCTAGAATTCTTCTAAAGGTCAAACGAATGCAAAGTGAATTGAATTAACGAGTGCATTTTGTCGACAGTTTGCTGTCATAGTTTTTAATTTCTTAAAACTTAACATAAACAGTTCTTAAACAGTTTATTGTTTCAAAAACTTCTTAGCTTTTTCCCGTTTTTCACATTTTCCATATTAATTTCAACAGCTCAATGCTGTCAGTTTAATATTTTTTCTTTCATCTTACGCACAAAGTAAATGCCTTGTACTTTTCATTTTCACAAGCTGAAAAATATTACAGTTGTTTACAAAGCAGAAAAGCATATTATAAGTGACGGGTTGTAAAAAATCTATACTTCCGATCGGATCGCGGCAAATTCTTCGACAGATATTAATGAAATATTGCTCTGAGGCAATCAATCACCAGGACTGGGAAGAAATAAGGATATTTACAAAAATAAAACTAACTTTTCTCTCCGTAATAAAAGTAAAGTTTTGACCTAAAAATTGTTGTTGTTTGTGCAAAGAGCTGATCGGCATTTCTTTTGTTTCAGTGGAGATGGCGTAGTGTCTGCGCGCTCAGCATGGGCGGCTTCGCGTTGCTTTACTGGCGGCTGAGACTAGCCGGGGTACCTGCTCCGTTTGCAGCAGCGGATAATCCAGCCTCAAGAGATCCCTCACTCTTTACAAGAGTCTACACTTTTGCCTACCTTCCCATTTTCAATTTTTTTCTTCTGATTTTCCCCTATCACCTCAGTTTCGATTGGTCTATGGACGCTATACCAAGAATAGTTACTATACTTGATCCACGTAACATCTTCACAATGGCGTTTTACGCTGTCATATCTAAAGTAACTTGGCGGCTCTTAGTTAATGAATTCAAAAAACCTCCAGATAATTTAGTCAGAGAAATGAAATTCTACAAAAAGCAAAGTTGCAAGACTAAACATAGATGGAATTATAATAACTGCAAACAATACAATAGAGGACAAGACTGTGTCGAGAGAAAAAGCTATCATGGTCCGCACAAAGAGAATGTATCATCTAAAAAGCTATTGTGTCCGTGCACCGGTTGCAAACATTCGCTCACTGATGAGCACACGAGCTTGTGCCGAGCTAGTAACAACAACAACATTATGATGCATAATTCTGTTTGCATTTGCCCAATACCTCATTCNTGCAAACAATACAATAGAGGACAAGACTGTGTCGAGAGAAAAAGCTATCATGGTCCGCACAAAGAGAATGTATCATCTAAAAAGCTATTGTGTCCGTGCACCGGTTGCAAACATTCGCTCACTGATGAGCACACGAGCTTGTGCCGAGCTAGTAACAACAACAACATTATGATGCATAATTCTGTTTGCATTTGCCCAATACCTCATTCAAAAACTAGGACACAGAATCTTTACAGAATAGTTAATCGCAGTCCGCAAGTTGCATTTTTAATGTTTGTTGCTTTTATGGTTTTGCCATTTATACCTGCAACGAATTTTTTATTCTACGTCGGTTTTGTGATTGCTGAAAGAGTGTTGTATACCCCTAGTGTAGGCTTTTGTTTATTACTTGGACTTGGGGCTGGAACTTTGACAAAAAATTGGCACCGAAATGAGAAACGAAGTAGGATATTTATGATGTCGCTTCTCATATTACTTTCGGCCATGTGTGCTAGGACTTTATCAAGAAATATTGACTGGAGGGATGAAGAAAATCTGTTCAAAAGTTCGTTGCATATCAATCCACCAAAAGGTTAGTATGCTTCATAGTCTATATTATTATTGCTATTAATTTATATTAGTTATGATGATGATTACGATAATAACGATGATCAAAGACCGATCGACAATATCTTATATATGTTGTTAATTTCGGTATTGCCATAATTTTTATCATTATATATTCAGATTCATTGACAAGCACCGTTTCAAAATGCTGCGAGTTAAGGCATTAATATCTGAGCTAGATAAAGCTGGCCTCCGTAATTCTTAACTTTCTCAAACTTTGTTTGAGTTGCTCCCTCGTTACAACTCTAAACTAAGATACAATTAATTTGTTTGAGAGACAGCTACAAACTACCTGTCCGCCGCGTGCTGGTCCTCTAACTTGGAAAAGAGGTTGTCACGGCACGCCTGTTTGCTTTCGAACATCTGCCCACTTGGGGCTGGTAATGTATTCACTGCCTCCACTCACATTCAGACTCTTGACCTTTCTAGGACGCCATTAAACATGCATGTACGTCCCGAGGGAGGCCGCCTCGGGTTTCAGTTCACATCACAAACTTTTGCGCAAAGAGAAAAGTTTTGCGTGATGGTTCTCATTCCATACACCATTCCACGTATATGTAGAATCCTATTTGGATGTTACTTCTACAGGGTTGTTGTGGAACAAAAACGATATGGTCTCTATTATTTTATGAGACAGGCAATAAATTCACGCATGTAAATTTTTAGCGAGCCTATGGAAATTCTATGCAGCCTTTGAATATTAAGTTACACCATAAATAATAATAATCAACAGGTCCCTGTATGGGTATAGTTGGTTGATAAACTATCGGAAGAATAGAAACTCCGGAACTATTCGAAAACCCCAAATAAGATAGCAAAATATGTTTCCGTTGCCAGAAAAACAATATTTCAAGTAAATTATGACACTTTATCGAAGGGTCTCCGATGTAAAACTATCCAAGTTGGCCAAGATGGGTTTGTAAGAAAAAAATAAGAGGCAGCACTCGCTTTTAAAAGTTCCTATCGAACTTCTTGTATTTTTACGAGATCCCAAATCACTTGTAAAATATTGAGGTCGTCCGTTGCCACAGCTGTGCCGCGACTTATTTTCTCATGAGGATTAAATACATTAGCAACCGTTGTACTCTCTACAGAGTGTAACTGAAACCGTTTTGGTTTTCCGCAAATTTGATTTATTAATTTTGGAGTGAATTTGGTTTCACTCATCATTTTATGAAAGAGAATGAAACAATATTTTTCAGTAGCATTGCATATACATTTATAATCAATTTATTGAATATGGTTTTTTAATTCCAAAAGAGTTTTGAATTAAATTACTTTACCAAATCAAAACATAAGAATATAGTGTTAAGACAAGAAGCGTTAATTAGCAATGGACTATGGAAATTGATTCTTTAAATTGTCGACGAAATAAAAAACTCATTAGTTCGCTATTGTGGTTCCCTAGGGAGATAAGGGCCTATTATTTGTAGTTTAAGTGCTTTCAGTACATCTACAAATACTAATAAATCTTAGTATTCATATTGTTATCGCAGTACTTCAGTCAAGAAAAAGTATCATCTTCCACTGCGGCTTGTTTGTCCAAGATTTTTTTTATTTCATGCGATTTTAAGATTTTGTCATAAAAGAAATCTAAAAGCTTAAAACCTTGGCAACGTTTTTCTTTCTGTCTCACTTTTGATTTGTTCATAAAGATGAATTTGCGCCAAGGATATAATCTTCGTACCATAAACAACGGCGTGATTTAATTATTCAGTGATCGATTTGACTAGTTGAGGAGACTTAACTATCAATTAACTCGACCTCAATATGGACATTGATAGATTCAATCTGAAAATTACTGCATTTGAATAATATTCACTGGATTTTCACGAAAATTGAATTGAGGTCAACAGGAGAATTCCTATTGAGATTCCAGCAGATTACCTAGTATTCCAATACAAACTAAATAAATAAAGACTACAATAATTGTATTGGAAAATATAATCAATACGTGTTTATTTGTAACTAGTCGTGGTCACTCGACCGTAATGATAATTGCGCGACGAAATGACCTCGTAACTTTGTGAGTTCTTTTATTCTAATGATTTTTTGTTATATTATTTAATAAAGATATATTTCAGTGCCACTTTCTTCTTTTCTCTCACTAGGTTTTATTTTATTGCCCATGTAGGTAGACGAGCATACTGACCGCCTGATGGTCAGTGGTTACCGTCGCCCATGGACTTCAGCAATGCCAGGTCAAGTCAAGTCACTGCCTACCGTTAGATGGGGTCGGCACAGCTAATTTTTCTTTTCCATTCTCTTCAATCAGCCGTCATCTCAACACTAACTCCTCTCTCTCTCTCATATCGTCATTCACACACACCATCCATGTCTTCTTCGGTTGACTTCTTGCCCCTCTAGTGTATAATTAAAGAAAGTATATTATCGATGTGATTATAAGTGTGATTTGTAATTGATAAAGTGTAATATAAATGTTCACAATGAACCAGAGGAAGACCGATGTACAAAAATATCTTGTTATGAAACCCAAGAGCGGGGTCGTGGCTTATTGACATTTCCTGTAATTTAATCCGTATCATCCATCCATTATATTATTAGTTCAAATAACCGGCTTATTTAGTAGCTTAAGGGCACTTAGGTTTTTTTCATCAAGCAGTCACCCTTTGCGTCTTTTCAGTTTACTTGGGCTTAGCACCTGTTACGCCATGAGCTTGGGAATACGAGGTCAAAAGCATTAAGAACTCTTTACATAACCTTCTTGACTTCACATCAAAACCCCTTACTACGAGGGCATTACGAGTTATTGTCGATAGACTTTAGAAAAAATAAAAACATACAATTTGTCTTGGCTTACGTCGTTTGATTCTTATCTACTTTAGTTACGGACTGCATCGACGGATTTGCAAACTAATTCATGTTCAAAGCTGCGAGGATAAAAAATTAGATATTTAGACAAATTTGAAATTATGTGAAGAAGTATTTTCAAGGTACAATAATGTCACTTTATCTTTATTAATTTTATTTAAAACTCATTTTACAATTATATCAAGATCAAAGCTATTTTAAGATTTGTCATTCTTGGTAAGTCGTTATTCTTTTCCGTCTGTTTTGTGTGAACTGTAAAATCTATTTAACTATGCGTTTTCGTTAAAGCTAATAGGCCTCTATTTCTCTTTTTACCTTTAGGAAACACGAGCTAAAGGCTAACTGGATCCAATTTGTCTCCGGCGGCTATTCGAAACAAGCCAATCACGAAGCGCTCCCTATTACACGAATTCACTCGAAACGCTGTCACAAGAGCGGTGCCGATCTAATCGGCAAAAGCCGGCTTTACTTGATACACCGATACGTAGTGCTAGGTATATTGTCCTGGACTTTAATGGCTTTGACATTTAAGAACCTTTTGACAGATGAAGTAAGAGATATAAAAGTATGGACGTTCGAAATGATGAAATTAATTCACTTTGTAAATTCCTCAGAATAAGGTTGATTTATATAATAATATGTAAATTTAATATGTTTGGCTGAGTATACATTCTATTACTATACTATTTTTATTGGATGGATAGGTAAAAGCTCTTTCTACTCTTTCCAGTTAGAAGGATGGAACATATTTTATACAATATAGTTGAAAATTCGACCTCATGGCCCAAAGTAAGTAGACAGCGTCATTTACGCTGCGGTATGCGGCCATGAGCTTGTTCATTCAATTCTTCAATAAAACTAATGTACAAACTAAGTCAGAGCTACTAATTTTTTGTTATTGCTTAGATGGATGGACGACCTCACGGCCCACCTTGTGTTAAGTGGTTACTGGAGCCCATAGACATCCACAACGTAAATGCGCCACCCACTTTGAGATATAAGTTCTAAGGTCTCAAGTATATTTACAACGGCTGCCCCACCCTTCAAACCGAAACGCATTACTGCTTCACGGCAGAAATAGGCAGGGTGGTGATACCCACCCGCGCGGACTCACAAGAAGTCCTACCACCAGTACTAACTAACGAGGTGTAGTAATAATAATAAAAAATTAGTTCATTTGGTTGTCGTATATATTTTCCTTTGAAAATTTATCGTGGACGTACAAGCACATGTTCCATACGTTAGAAAACTAAAAACAAAAATCGTCGGTCAGACTCATTAGACAGAATAACAGATAACGTCCCTCTAATCTGGATTAGGCCAAGTACATCTATTTCTTACAACACTTGGCCGGCTGGTGTGCGATGTAATCGGTTAAGCTCGGAGGTTTATCGCCCCCATCTAAGGGCCCGATATCTTCGAGTGGCGACTTTCAGAGATTAACGCTATTATCTCGCTGGAGTACGGATACTTGGACGTCACAACTTGCTTAGACACTCGTCCTCTGGTCCAGATACTTGATTTAGTTTTTTACTCCTTCGAGAATGAAAGAAATAAGTGTCTTTCTTGTCTAAATGTGGAAATTTACTAGATCCGTGTTTGAAATTCCTAGTCAATTTATTTTACTTGTTACTTTAAGATCTTATGTGGTCCAGAGTCCCCTCAAAAACAACTATCACGAGTTCTATAAATACTAGAATATAAATCGAATAAACAAAATAAAATCCTGAGAACTTTAAAGTAAGCAAATTAAAAAGGGAATTAAAGTTGAGCACACAACATGCAAAAAAAGAAAAGAAAAAATAATCTAATTTGTAAACAAATTGTACTGGATATAAACATTTCGTGTTATTTTCTTAGATATTTTTTTTTTTTTATAAATAAATAATAATAAATATTTACTAACAATCACGCCACGTTAACTGGTCCCGTGATAAGTTCGTAAAGGAAATAAATGTAAGATTTTTATTATACACATACATATATTTAATATACATCCATAACCCTGGAAAAGACATTTATATTTATCATACAAATATCTTCCCTTGGCGGGATTCGAACCCGCGACCCCCTGGTGTAGTGACCATGTCACTTACCACTACACCATACGGCCGTTAATGATAGATACATGGACAGATAAATTAGATTTTGCGTCTCGGCCATGTAGTAGATGATACATTTAACTTGTTATATGTGTAAGAAAGAGGTCTTATCCATTTTTAAATTACCATTATTCATCTATACATAGGTATATAATTACTTGTCTTGACTAATTTTTTAGTTGCGTTGTTGGGTGAATAATCTCACTGTCCATCTAGTGTGAAGTGATTACTTGAAGCCGTAATATATCACAAAGTCAACACCTATCTTGGGACATGAAGTTAATGTCGGTCGGCTGTCCCACTAAACCGGAATTCTAATAAAAATGCTCCGTGATCAAAAAGGACATTATGGTGGTGAGAACCTACATACCTGTACGGATCTATAAAACGCCCTACCACCAGTAGTGAGTTATATAAACGTTAAAAGGACAGGACATAAATCGTCTCTTTAGTTATTTGTAAAATTAAACTAACTATGAAACCCTACGGGTATTGGTAATGTCTCGCATGTTAGCTCGGTAATCGGAACATAAAAAAGCTTTTAGAACGATATTCCAATCAGCGGAACGACTTCGAGTAAGTGACGTCGTGTCTCTTATATATTTTTCGCTCTGTTTTTCTTGCAGCTAATGGTGCTGATCGTAAATGGGATAAGATTTTTTTTCATTTTCGTTTTTATATGACCCAGTTAAGTAAAGTACTCGATTACAATCTTTATTCACGATCTTAACGAAAATAAAATATTCGTGATCATAGACATATTCTAGAATATTAGGTAGGTACGTTTACTTATTTATTAATAAAGGATTCATCTCCTTCTGCCGTTTTTTTTGTACCCATCTATTTGCGTATATTTTCATTGAAATTCCAGTCGATAGCAAAATTATGACTACACTTCAGTGAATGAGGTGCACGTGTTACCTTGAGGGCACTATTAATAATTCCAAAAGGGTTAAGATCGAGGGGGATTCGTTGAATATAAAAAAAATACAAAAGCTTTTGTATAAACATGCCAACGCTGTTATGTTTTCTTTATATTTTTAACAAGGCATAGACGAAAAACATTTCGATGTTTTAAAATAATTAATGTACGGTTTTAATGTTATTATTATAGTAAAAATAGAGCTTAATTTAATTACTTCAATCTTAATATGTTATTTCAACATTTTCTTCACGCAAAGCCTATCTGTTGCTGTGACGCTATTGCAACCTATAGATATTGTAAATGCAGTCGTCCACTTTTGATAGACGTTATCAAAACCCTAACTGAATTAGAATCACAGCTATCCTACTCTTCATATCAGAACGCATGACTGTTTTGCGATAAAAGTAATCAGAATCATGGTACTATGCCATGCAGGCAAAGTCTATTGGGCGATTTAACAAAAGCCGGCTATTAAAGATGTCCATCTACGTACATATACATGTATGTACATATGTACTATTTAATACGTACGTATTAAGTAGGTAATCTGAAATGTTGAAATGTAGTGATATAATATTCAAATGTTGTCAAACGCCAAGCACTACCGATATTGATCTACCTACCATTTAATTGAAACCTATTTGGTAAATTTTGTAAATCAGCATTTGATATCGGAGTTCTCGTTTTGCAAACGCATTTTCAATATTAACGTACTTCGTTAGAGTTCATGTTAATTCGATTATATACTTTATATTCTTTATGTATAGAGTCCGAAGGGTGAGACAGTCGTTATACCGTAAAACTGAAACTTATCACTCGTGTCTCAAGATGGGTAGCGGTATTCACTTTGTTGTTGTCTATGGGCTTCGATAACCGCTTAATTACATTAAGAAGCGATATCTATTTATTAAACGGTGCAAAATGACATTTCGTTTTGGTTTATTTATATTTTTAAAGTAGCATTTTTTCCCTTGGAGGAAGTTCTATTGTTCATTACGATTTGTAGATACCGTACATTCCACGGATCAGCTATTTGTTTATTGTGTTATATTGCGTGAGCCTTATTAACACAAGAAACATTAGTAGAAATTCATACGACCATTCGCAATTTTTTGCATTTCGGGTTAGAAATAAGACATGAGCGTCTTTTTTTATTTTTTTTATTGCTTACATGGGTGGACGAGCTCACAGCCCACCTGGTGTAAAGTGGTTACTGGAGCCCATAGACATCTACAACGTAAATGCGCCACCCACCTTGAGGTATAAGTTCTAAAGTCTCAGTATAGTTACAACGGCTGTTCCACCCTTCAAACCGAAACGCATTACCGGTTCACGGCAGAAATAGGCGCGGGTGGTGATACCTGCCCGTGCGGACTCACAAGAGGTCCTACCACCAGTGAAGTAGTTTATATCGTATGTTTCGAATACTCATTGCTTGTGTGTACATAAATACGTATACATCACGACGTGCTCATGGCACGTGCAAAACCACAGCTGCATGGTACCTTAAATGATCGGTATCGCACGGCGAACTGATCTCCGGACCGACGGGATCCACTTTACGATTGCTAACGAAATGTCAACGTATTTAGGCACGAAATTAGACCGCAAATTGATGAAGCTACACCAGCGGCTCTCAACCTTTTTATACGTAACGCAAATGTACTGACGTGTAGTTTAAATTCATTTTTGATTACATTAGTCCATAGGTTATAATGTTAGTTATTTTTAGTGGTTTTTAGATCTTCAGACATAAGGTTGAGATTTCAACTGTTTCAGTATGCTATAAAAACAAATACAAATTATTGAAGTCATCGTGGACTTTAGGTAATGTGCGCAAACGAACAGAGAAAAACAAAGTTTGTTTACGGCTTAAATAATTTGATTGTACAGAATGTATTGGAACCTTCTTCGAAAACAAAAAGAAAAATAGAGTGATTACTGACATGACATACCTAAAAAGGTTATACTAAAAAATATATATTTTTCAATGCAACCCTATTTAATACAATGAAAAGTAAAAATAAATTAAATCTAAAAAACATGTGCGCCAATATTTCAATCTATAATTATAGACGAAACGAAAGAACGGTAATTTAAATTTAATCGAAATATTGTCCATCACTAGCAACTACTTTTTCCATCCATCTCTCAGGCAGAGTTCGGATTCCACGTCCGAAGAACTCCTCGTCCTTTGAGGCATCCACGAATCAACCCAATTTTTGGTATCTTCATATGATGTAAACCGCTGCTCCGACAGAGCATGTGCCATTGATCTGAACGGCCGTCTGGTGTAGTGGTAAGTGACATGGTCACTACACAAGGGGGTCGCGGGTTCGAATCCCGCCAAGGGAAGATATTTGTATGATAAATATAAATATGTCTTTTCCAGGGTTATGGATGTATATTAAATATATGTATGTGTATAATAAAAATATAACATTTATTTCCGTTATCTGGTACCTGTAACACAAGTTCTTTACGAACTTACCACGGGACCAGTTAACGTGGCGTGATTGTTAGTAAATATTTATTTATTTATTATTTATTATTGATCGGAACAGATGATAGTCAGATAATAACAAAACAAAAGAGATGTAACCTATGAAATTAACTTAAGTCTGGATGAATCGGGATTTACTGACGAGTTTTGACGATTTTAGTTCATCAAAACATTTTTATAAATGAATAACGTTTTCCGCTCACTAAAGTGAATTAGTCAGCGCGGCTAATGTTCTATAACAGTAGTAGTTTATAAATCGAAGAAACCAATGTGCGGGTTTTTCGCAAAGTAAATATTATACCTTTGTGACTCCGTAAGCAGTCTCTTTACACACTCTATGTATACGATAACAGAGTCAACGACAATAAAAACTGAGTTTGTTCTTTTTGTACTAATATCGTGCGCTAACCTTAGTCTAAGCCCTTTCGTATTATCCCACGGGAAAGCTTCGCGAGCTCCTAGTTATTTGTAATTAACGTTTCCATGGTTCATTTGTTATAAAGCTTGCTCGTGACTGGTATTTTTTATTTTATAAATAACAAATTAAATATCGTTTAGAAACAGTCATTGAGAGAAGAGAAATAATGAGTTGTACAGGTTTCATTTTTAACGTAAATATTGACATGGGAATTTTCAATTTATTATACTCAGAAATGTTTTTAATATACACAGAAAAAAATATCTGGGTTTGGCCGTTAGCAAATAATTATTATATAGTTGCGTGGTAATTTTCGTACGTACATACATATAAATGATGATAATGGATAAAGCATATTTACTAATTAAATTATTAAACTACTTTTTTCTGAGTGACTAATTAAACTTAATTTTTTCAGCGTATGGAAATCTTGGTAGTGTGCTGACGGCTCAGGGGCGAATGGCGGAAGCGGAAGCTGCGTTTTTGAAGGCGCTCAAATATAGACCAAACATGGCCGACGTTCATTACAATCTGTGAGTTAATTTTTTCTGCTTGGATTCACTATAATCACAACCTTAGAAGGCTTAATTCACACACAAAAAACAGAGTACAAGTATTTTTTAGTAAAAGGAATTTTCAATTCCTTTTTTTATACAAGGCCAAGAATTTGAATCTCAGCTCGACAAACGATCTACATTCCTTTTATCCATTCCTTTGTAGTATACATACATATATCTTCAGCCCGTTTTACAATAAAATTGGCCATATCTTTTTTACACAAACAAAAGAATTCCCTTTCGAATTCTATTCAAAACGGAAAACTTTCAGAAACGATTGGTTTGATAAAAGAGACAAAGATTTGACATGAAGCCCATATTATTCTAATCTCGATAACAACAAAAGTTTAATAATACATTCAAAAGGTCTGTGTTTACCCTTAGTGAAAGAGAAATAATACTCGGCGTGGCTTTCCCGGGGGACTGAAAAGGCAAAAGGTCCAAACCCTATTAAGGACATCGGGAAAAGAAAATATTATAAAATATAAAAAGTATAATGGCTATATTAGAAGTTCAAAAGATTGAAAGGAAACTTTCTCAATATTGGTAGGTTTTAGATTGAACTAGTTTTTGTTGGAAACTAAGTTTCTTTTCACGAAATGTATTATTATGTTGCATTACTATGAAATACGTAAGTGATCTATAGTATTATTCTAGGAATACTATATTAGGAATATAACATTGATTGAAACGTTTTACGAGTATAGAATAACTTTAATCATAACATTTATGAGTCTGTTATCACTTATTCAGAGTAAACAAAATACTTTTTGAAATTAGTAATGATCGATTTTATCATGGCTTTGACACATCGACTCCGATTGAAGTTAGACAAAAGGACTGGAACTTTCCAGATTACACAAAGGACCGAGGAGACCGTAGCTACCGAAGTGAGAGTAGCAATTACTTCGTCAATAGGCACACGTCGACTCAACCCATAAATTGGTCGAGTACTCATCCTTGAATTAATCGGGGGCACAGCTCTCTACAATTATTAGCCTTCCAGACAGTCTCACATATTAACATCGAGCCACACAGTTAAAATAATTTCACTATACCAAGACTATAAATGATACCTATTTCGCTGTAACTTCAAAAAGTTTAAAATTATTTCTATGGTGTAACAAAAAAGTAGGTGTAGAAAAAAATTCGTTTCATTATACATAGTCTTACTACTGCAGATTTGGTTTTAAGCAGGCCTTCCAACTGTTCCACATTTTGACTATGCATAAGTCAATACTTTTATTCACAGGTCGTGTAAAGTGCATGTAACTAAGTTGTGATTTATGAATGTTGACATATTTTTTTAAATATATAAAGGCCTTTTCAGAATGCTTAAAATGATTAAGCTCACTTTATCGTTTTTTTAATTATTCGTTAGTATTTTTCTTTTAAAAGGTATTGTTTAAATTTCTATCTTAGATTATCATCACGCATTTTTGCGGATCATTACGAGAAATAAGCAAACTAGCAATACATTTTGTGTTTAAGCGTAGCATTATAATTAAGCATTATATTGTTGTGTTATCTACAGAAACCCATAGAAAGTACCTTGGATTTTCCATTGTGTTAGATAGAAGCAGAGCATTATGTAAGCCAGCGTATTTATGAGCAGGTCAGTTTCAATCCGGGCCACGTATGAAGGTAACAGGGTATTGTTTAGCCTCCCATTTTAGCACGTTAGCTCCCCGCTTGTTTGAATAAAACCTTAATAATGTTGGTATGAACTCTTCGACGTAGGTAGTACTTACGAAATGGTAAAATGTCGAATAATCCTTCGTTCATACTAAGAAATGTACCTTCCATTTAAATTATAATATACATATGCTACTTATTATGTATCTTTAGACCAATGAAATCGTTGGTAAATTGAAATTATTGTATTATATTTCAAACTTCTGACACAAAAAACCGTTTTGACGAATTCAGTTAAAAATAAAAAAACGCGTGGCAATATTTTTGTCTTTTTTTTTGTATGTTGAAGCAGACGAGCCCACCTTCGGCCCACCTGATGGTGAGTGGCTACCGTCGCTCATGGACGTCAGTAATACTAGCGGCAGAGCCAAGCCGCTGCCTACAGTTTAATACTCTCCACAGGCCTCGTTTGAAAAATGATATATAACGCTCGGGAGACACCGTGGAAAGGAGCTCGTTCCAAAGCCGGATGGTACGTGGCAAATAATATCTCTGGAAACGCACTCTGGATGACCGCAGTGGCTCCAGATAGTATGGATGAATTCTACTCCGGTGGCGGACGGTGCAATGGTAAAAACGAGATGATGGTATGATCACAAATAATTTCACAGAGCACTCCTCATGGAACATACGATACAAAATTCAGACTTAACCAAAGTCCCTCTGCAGACTCAGAGGTTCCAAATGATCCGTGAGAATGGGATTATCGGCAAACCGAACGGCTCTCTTCTGTATGGAGTCAAATGGAAGTAGCTGGTATTTGAGAGTCCCAGCCCAGAGGTGAAAGCAATACTCCACGCGAGGCCAGACCCGTGCTTTGTAAAGGAAAAGTATTTTTGTCCAGGCATGATGTACCGCCTCGCTCTGTTGAGGACTCCCAGCATTTTTGAGGCCAACTCACCTTTATCCTCCAAATGACTCCGAAATTAGACATCGCCCGAAATGTCGATTCCAATTATTCCAAATTGAAATAATTTTGGTGTCACGTTTCATTTGATAAAAAGAAAAAGTCAAACTTGAATGTAATTGAGGAAAAACGGACACGTACATATTTTCAGCAGGTCCGAAATGGTTCGATGGGCACAAAGTCCGTGTGTCACGGTTGCTAAGTAGCTATCTGTACGTGATGATAGCCGAGCATGCGTTTCAAGGGAAAGCCGAATAGCTGAACATCTCGCATCTTCTTATTCTATTAAGGTCGTATTATATTGCGCGCGTGCCTCGATAGGATCTTTAATATTACGGCGAGCACTTGTAATCGAAAGAAATGGAATGCTCGAACAATAGCGGTATTAAAAGTTCGGCATAAATAGAAAAGGTCTTATTAAGGTTACGGTGAAATGAACCAATACAATGGGACTTATGATTTCGTCGTAAATGGGATTGTGTTCATTCGAATACAGTAATGTAATATTTTTTATTTATAACAATAACTAGCGACCTGCCCTCTCTTCGCTTCGGAGACTGTAATTTATTATTGATTTCTCCACTATTTAATGGATGTTATTATACATATAAACCTTCCTCTTCAATCACTCTATCTGTTAAAAAAAAACCGCATCAAAATCCGTTGCGTAGTTTTAAAGATTTAAGCATACACATTACATACATTTACATAGGGACAGAGAAAGCGACTTTGTTTTATACTATGTAGTGATTAACATCGAATTGGATAATAGTTGATGTAAATACTTTTTTGTAAATGCATCACGCTACGTAATTATATATTTATAATCCAATTTAAATATATAAAGAATTGAAATACTTATCTAAGATGTACATTTAAACATTAGTTCGTTAATTTTATAATGGACCGTTAAATTTATTCCGTATACCGTTAGACTTCATTCATTTGGACTCTTCGTGGTCTAAAACTTAAAACGCTCACTATTGCGACTATGCTGGCGTTCACAATCATGGGATAGCATTGTGTAATAATTAAAAAAAAACGCAAAATTTATAAAATATATGCGTAAACGCTGATGGCACGGACTGTATAGGGTGTGGTATATCCGCACGGATTAACCACCATCCTGTTGATATCTGCCGTGAAACAACGATGTGTTCCGGTTTCAATATTTGAATTTTCATCATTCCAAAATAATCTATACTAATATTATAAAGCTGAAAAGTTTGTTTGTTTGTTTGGTCAAACGCGCTAATCTTAGGAAATACGGGTCTGATTTGATAAATTCTTTCAGTGTTAGATAACCTGGATATTGAGGAAGGCTATATATAAAATCACGCTAAGACCAATACAAGCCGTACAGTCGTCGTGGCCTAACGGATAAGACGTCCGGTGCATTCGTGTTGAAGCGATGCACCGGTGTTCTAATCTCGCAGGCGGGTACCAATGTTTCTAATGAAATACGTACTCAACAAATGTTCACGATTGACTTCCACGGTGAAGGAATAACATCGTGTAATAAAAATGAAACCCGCAAAATTATAATTTGCGTAATTACTGGTGGTAGGACCTCTTGTGAGTCCGCGCGGGTGGGTACCACCACCCTGCCTATTTCTGCCGTAAAGCAGTAATGCGTTTCGGTTTGAAGGGTGGGGCAGCCGTTGTAACTATACTGAGACCTTAGAACTTGTATCTCAAGGTGGGTGGCGCATTTACGTTGTGGATGTCTATGAGCTCCAGTAACCACTTAACACCAGGTGGGCTGTGAGCTCGTACACCCATCTAAGCAATAAAAAAAAAGCGGAGTACGGATAAAGAATGTTTCAAAATCGGGGTTTTTTCCCTTTTAAGAACTTCCGCTGCATGCGCTGCGAAAACGGTTAAAGTTACGCTAAAATTGTTTCTCTTTCTAGGTGTCTGGCATAAAGAACGAAAAAGAAAAAAAAAGAAGAAAAAAAAGTTATAAAAAAGTCCGCGACCGCATTTGTCTATATTTTAAAGTTGGCCCACTAACGTTTTTATGCTAACCTGTTTTTTTTAAATAAAGCAATTTTTACGAAGGTGTTTCATGAAGATGATTTTTATATTTATCTCTACATTAATACGTGAAGCAAAAACTTTGTACCCTTTTTTACGAAAATTGCGGGACGGAGGATTATAAAATTTCTCACACTTATAGAGAATATAGAGAAGGAGTGCAGAATGTTAATATTTTTTTAAATTATGCATAAAAAATACATAAAATCAATGAAAAAAAAAACATTACACACACCACAATTTTTACTCGAATTTTCGAACTTTCTGATTTTTTTCGAATTCTCGAATCCCATCACCAGATCCTGATCCTGATGATTACAGAACCATTCGAACAAAA